TTCAGCAACTGAGCGAGTGAATATCGTATTGGCTGCAAATCAATATAAAGACAGTGCGGGTAAGGGAGCCAGAGGGTGGCTGTCCTGTGCATGTGTCTAATATGCTAAACATCAAGCCGGATTTAGTGGTGTATGAGGCTAACAGGCTTTTGCGATCTAGTAATGATTTATGTAACTCGGTAGGACACAGGAATTCAAAGCTAAGCAGCTATTTTCCTACAAAACAAAAGAGGGTTCTGCCACTCTACTATATTTTGCTATGCAAAAGATTTAGAAAGTTAAGTTATTTAGATTTTTAAATCATAATCCTCAGCAACTTTTTTTTCCGTTTATTTCATACCTCTTCATATAAATACGCCAATTGAGGTTCCTTCAATTTTCCCTTACAAGGTTTCAAGCATTTTTCATCTCATGAAAATTCCCTCGCAACCTTCATTGCCACCTTACGGTGGCAGGGCTTGTTATTCGACCATTTCTACACACACACGACAGCGATTTAAAAATTGCTTAAATGCGCACATAAGTACGCTTAAGGAGAAGGAACACAATACCCTCGTACAACCAACACACGCACCTAGCCGCCCAACAACTAACAATAAGAACAAGCTGCCAAAATACAATCAGGTCTTGCTTTGGCCACCTGCCAAATGCCTCCTGCCTCTCTGCTGTACTCCCACCCAGGCCATCTCCCCGGGTCCCAGTTCCATTGTTAGCAGCTGCTGCACATTAGAAATTCAACTTCGCCTCGTCTTCTTTAGGCGCTGAGCAACAATGGCGTGTGAATTAAAATAGAAAGCCAGCCCAGACCGGAGCAGCAACGCTCTCGTGGTCGTCAGCTTGACGCGCAAGGTGCGATCCGAGTGTGCGTGTGTGGGCGGCGCTGAAGCGTTAAGAAGAAACTCCCGCCGCCTGCCGCTACCTCTGCCCCACGTTGGGCGCCATTTTTGTCAAGTCGCATTAAGGCAGTGCCCGTTCGACGTGTTCGTTCTGCTCGCCGACTGCTGACGAAAATTGAACGGCCAGGCCAGCAAAACGAAAATTGTTGTATAAATAAAAGCATAATTGATGCGAGACACACACAGAGCGTACACCCAGAGAGAAGAAAAACAAAAAGCGAGGAGGAACAACAACAGCGGCAGGAGTAGTCGCAGAACATTCGACTCTGGCAATGGCGATGGCTCGCTGGCATATGGCATATGTTGCGTCAATCCAGCCATGAGCAGCGCAAACAAAACGACCAAGACGCCGGCAAAAGTAGGAGAAGAAAAAATTGAGCGAGCTGCGCGCAGAAATGTTTCTTCTTTTGCATATTTTACGGCGCCCGTTCTGCGAAATGACTGTGAAAACAGGTTTGATGGGTTGGAAGGGAGCTGGCGGCAGCGCTTCGCATATCATTTTTTGGGACAGCGCGGACTCTTCTCGTATTTATCTGGCACGGAACGGCACTGGCACTCCCCTCTGTGTGTGCGCGTGCTGGCAGCTTGCAGATTTCTTATTTCCCTCAATCTTTCTTTTTTGTGCGACGAGTATGCTTCACATGGCGAGAAATTAATTTGAAATTTAAATGCGCACGGAGCAAGCTGGGCAGAGTGTCTTTGATGATGATGGTGACTGCGCTCGCTGGCTGGGACATGTGTTTTTCGCCCCGGCAAGGTGTGACAAATGCTGTCCCAACCATTTTGGCCACTATTTGTGGTTCCCCAGGATGTTTCCTCCACGTTTCCTGAACGAATACAAATGGAAATGTTAATTGACTAATTTATTCTGTGTTCCACGATCCCGTTCAAAGTAATTTGATGTCTAACTTAAAGTACTTATTCACTTGCCTTGCTGGCCCTTCTCCTGGCCAAGAGCGGCGACAATTTTTATTTTAAACTCCATTTTCGTCCAGGTCTCTCCCCACTGCTGTCATGCATGTGGCGAGGCTTTTGCGCTTGGGCAATCAAAAGCATTTACATCCAAAGGCAGCTTTAATGCATGCGCGCGCTTTCATTAACAAGTGTTCGGGGCACGCCCACTTCTAAGCCGCGCCCACAGCACGGACAGCAAAAAATCGCATCAGCGGCTTATGCAAATGCCGGTGTGCGTGTGTGGGTGAGGGAGTGAGTGTTGAGTGAATACGAAATTATTGTTTACAACTGTAAACTGTAAACTTTTTGCGCTCTGTCTCCCCACAGCGTGTGTATTTTTTGCATTTAGAAAACGTTTGCAGACCGCACTAAAAGCGACTTATAACATGTTGAGTGCCAAGAGATTAACAAGGGAGGGAACGTGCGATGGCTGTAGAGCTGTGGGGCTGTAGTCTCGCCCCTGACCGGACCGGACGGTCTATTTTCGCCCTGCAAATTCCTTTTTAATGAGCGCCTGGTCCATTCCTGGACCGGGCGTTCATAAGCTGCTTAAGGTTTGGCGTAATCAAAAAATGTTCTTTCTCTGCATCTCGTTTTTTAAAAGCTTTCTGTGGTACATCAACCTGGAAGCCAGCGGCACGGCCTGGGTGTTGGGAGTGGACTCTGTTAAGCTTAAAATTAACTTGCGGTTTTGTCTGGCGCAACTTTGACGCCTGCAGGTAGGCAATCAATTCGGGGCCCCCACTCCGTTTTTCATCTGACACCAACCCCACTCTGGTCGTTGCACTTGGCCGTATAATTAATGTATATGCCGGGCGGAGAGGCGGAGGCGGAGGAAAAAGCGTAGAATACGTTTGCGTGGCAGCTAAAATTTTTATACAACACAGCTGGCGTCATTTTGCGCTAATTACCCCTTCTCTGCCGCACAGTTCCCCTCCCAGCTGCACGGAACTCGGAGACCCGAGTCCTGAGAGTAGTCGTAATGCCAAATTGCAATTACAGCCACGAAGAATGGGCGTGGGGGCAGGGGCAACTGACATTAAAATGCTTAATGCAGGCAGGTATAAAAAAATTACGCGCTCTTAAAATTAAAAAAGCAGGTAGAAAAATGTACAACTTTCTTTGCAGCCTCCGCGATTTCCACCACTCTACCGTTTTTTTCCGGGTAGCCGTATTTTAGGGGCCGCAATTTTGCTGCTCATCTTAAAAATTGGCCAGGTGAAAAATTGCAGCTGTCGGTTGTTAGTCCTTCATGTTCATGGCCCTGTTACCGGGCCAGCTTAGACATTTCACAAGGTGCCAAGTGGGAGGAGACATTTCTCGAATTGTGGCCAAGTGCAGTTGGGCGTAGGCCGAAGGCGAAATAGAGGCAAATTTATGGAAAAGCTCGAGCTGATTGTATTTTATACTGATTTCATCTCAGACTGGGAAGCAGCTCTTTTCCGCCCCCTTTCAATCGAGTGCCCGGGGCTGGGCTTTCATTTGCTGGGTATCGACTGCAATCAGCTATAAAATGTGACGGTTTCTGAAGGTCCCAGAATTGAAATTGACTTGAGCCGCTCTGTTTGCACTTGCCGTCAACTGGAATTGGGGATTTTACCGTCGCCATTTGTTTTTTGCTTGTTTGTGGCTGCGCCCCACTTGCGGCTATATTTTTGAAGTTTGAGCCAGTGCCAGGGCGTATTTGTTTGAGATTTATTCCGTGGAATGGCTCGAAATGGGATGGGTTCGCTGCCAAAAGTGTTGCCCAGCGGCAAGTGTCATTGATTTGGCCCGTTCCCCGCCAAAGAAACAGCCAAAACTGTAATTACGGGCCAACAGTTGCCATTCCGGCTGCCTTCCAGGCCTTCCACCTCACTTCCGGCCCCATTCTGGGATCGTCATCAACTTCCGCCTAAGTAAACACATGATTTCTCTAGCAGCGTAGCGGAGCTTGTTTAAAAACGCATCTAAATTGCAAATTAAGCAACAAATTTCATCAACAATATTTGAATTTGAATTTAAATGCGCCAACGAGCTGCGAAGAACGCGGAGGAGGGAGGCGGAGGCAACCACCCGCAAATACACAAAAACCCGAAATGTAAAATTCGTTTGCTGAAGGAGTGAAGAGCAAAGGCGAATGAAGCCGGGACTGGAACTGGGACAGGGACAGGGACTGGGGCTGGGATTGGGACTGGTGAGATCGACTGGGATTGCACTGCTGCTGCTTCTGGCTGTAAACACCAAAAATACAACAATGGCAGCGCTTCTCTCAGCCACTCTCCCGCCCCAGCAGCTGGTTTGTGTATTTGCTTGTTTGTTTGTCAAAAGAAGCAATTTACGTGCAAAATAACTCAAGTGTCATGCAAATTTCATTTATTTTTCGCAAGCTGCAAAGCAAGAAAAAAGGCGAAATAATTCCCGGGCTACGTTGTCATAGAGCTAACGGCTCTTCTGTTTGGCAACAGGAACAGGATAGCTCTGCCGCAGCCTCGACTCGTCTCGGCTATGCGAGTATACATGGTGATTCCTTACAAAATTCGGGCATAATGAAGTCACTTGGCGGGAAACCTTCTTGTTGGCCTCAGCCTCAGCCTCGGCTTCCCTCTCGAGTTTCCCTTGTGCCAAAAGCTATTTTGATTTATTTTCCTTATTTCCACAACATTCCCTTTTTTTTAGAAAATTAGAACGAGAGCAGAACGAGCTTCTTGATTTGCCATTGAAGTGCGGCGCAAAAGGAAAAATAATAATAATACGTTACGGTCGGCATTTAATTTAATTCTAATTTTATTTATAAATCGTGCAAAGTGGGGGCGAGCGGGCACTTGTAGCTTAAATGAAGTTTGCTAAGTACTTTTCAACGATGAGAGCAGAACACAACACCAACATCGGCCCGGCAACATCAACAACAACTTGAGTGCGCATACTTCAGGTTTGAAATTTCATTATTTTCGTATTATTCGCACACAAGTGCCATCGTGTGCTTGAAAAAGCAAAGCGGTGGAAAGGAACACTGCCTTGCCTTGGCCAGGGACAGCAGACGCCGGGGACAGTTTTCTAATTTAACAGAGCGGCGTGGGAAAAGCCAGCTGGGGGAGCAATCCCAACCCGAAATGTTCGAATGGCCAGAGAAAGATACATATGTATGTATAAGGACATCCCCGTACTTACCGGCATAGTTTGACTTCCGTGTAGATTGGTTATTGCTGACTGGGCCTCCTGCTGCGAACCGAATTTGACGAAAGCGCAGCCTGCAAAGGAAAAACACAGGTTGATTAGCAAAGAAGCCTTTGTGGTAAATAAACATACTATTTGTTACAAGATAGTTTTCGGTTCCCTGTTGCCAGGGGTCTCCGAGACCCCTCTGCTTTACGTGAAATTCGAGGGCATTCTCACAACACTGAATATTGAATTTAAAAATCAGTAAACATTCCATAAATGCCAATGCAATCGAACGAGGCGCCGGACCCTGGCGACGACCCCGGCCAGATGTGACTACAGCTGCGCGGCATCGGCATGTGTGTGGAGCATTTAAATAAAATTTTAAGTGCAATTAAAAAACATTTTTGCAAGAATCGCTTCGTGCACTCTTGCATGAAAATCAACATCGACATGGGCGGCATCAGCGATTCGGAATCGGCGCCCATCAACGCCCATTATATAAAAATAATACTCGGCCCGCCCTGGCCGCGACTGGATGGAATGTAAAATTCAAACTGAACCGAAAAATATACAAAAAATTTCCGCTGCACTTGCTCGCTCATTATATTGTAATTTGTGTGCCAGCTGCTGGGCGGAAGGGCGCGAGGGGCGGGCACCACAATAGAGATGGCGCAGCTGGAGCGGTACGAGAAGGGCCCAGGCTTCAATGGCATAATTATTAAAAATCATTTATGCTAATTTAATATACAGTAATAACCACAAAAAGTAAGGACTTTCAAGGGGCGCATTCGGAGGAGGGCACGAGTAGTACGGCAGGAATAAACGGGGCTTATACGGTTTGTAAGCTGGTGCTCGAAACGATTTAAAAATGCGGTAATGCTCGATGGCCTCGAGCATTGTTCAACATTTGTAAATGGAGAACAAATTAAGATGGTAAGTCCGTTTATGCGCCGGACTGTGTGTGAAGTTGGATAGTTTTAAGCTTCCGAAACAGTAATCGATAATATTTTAAACAAAATTTTAAAAATTAGATTTTCGGAAGGTACCTATTATTGAAAAGTATATAAAAGTACAGTACATACCTAATGAGTATAACCTTTTCTTAAACCTTTATATTAGGTCGCAAAGCAGCATAAGCTTGAAAAAAATTCGGAAATGTCTCTTTTCGGGTACTCTAGTTGAAGGATCTTTTATACCAAAAATAAAGTAATAAAAATTAAATCGATAGAGCCAATGGTGCAGACAAGAGGATCTTTACTTTAACAAAAGGACCAAAGCAGCAAGTAGTTCGCACTATAAAGTAATGCTGGCCCGGACTCTGCTGCACTGCTTCAGAGCTTGGAATCGCTGGCCAAATGAGTGTGTGCCCAGGAATAAATACAAAATAAGTCTGGCCTCCGAGGAATTAATTAGGGCCAACTTAACCTTTGCTCCATGAAGCTTCATCTGCTGCTGCTTCTGCTCTCCCAACAATGCTGCAAATTAAGACCCTCCAGCAAGGGTCCCCTGGAAACCCTTTCAAATGTATAATTCCCGAGCCCTCCATCCGCTCGCCGAGGGTTCGGACAGGCTGCGTGTCCAAATTGCGGCTTGGGCTGTTGCTCTCCGATGGCTGTTGCCGCCTTTGTAGTTGACGATATCCAGAAGGGACACGGCTGTGGAGGTGGCCGGGGCGGAGTGGAGGGGGCCCAACAAAACAAATCCCGCCTAAAACCATGCAACATGCGAGCTGACAAGCCGAAAGGCAGACAAGCACAAATTTCGCGTGCAAACAGCGCGAAGAGCAACAGTGGGGCTGGGCCGGCTGTGTGGAAAAATTCCGTTTTATTCTTCTTGCTGCAAATGTACAAAAAATAAAGTGTAAAAAATTCAAGTGGATTTTTGTTCGGCTTGACTCGACGCGACTCTTGTGTATTTTATGTTTTGTGTGTTGAAGTGACAACAAAATCCAGAATTTCTCTGTCCCAGCCAGCGGACAGGCCGCCGGCGGAAGGCGGAGGGGTGCTGGGACCAAGGGACACCAGAGTGCAAATCAGCGCTGCTAAGCAATAAAAAATAAAATATTTTGTTGCCAGTTAATCCACAGAGCTGAAAAAATAAAAGAGAACAACAACGACAGGGAAACACACAAAAAAGTAAAAAAAAGGCATTGCTAAGCATTTTTGTAAACTTAAATCAAAGTTGATTTTGTTTTCCATTTTTCTGTGTCTTTTGTGTTATTTTTTGTATGTTTCTTTTGTGCTTGTTTATTTTTTGTTTTTGTATATTTTAGTCAGGCCTTTTCTCTTTATGCGAAATGTATTTTCTTGGCATAACTTTGTGAAAAGCAAACTTTGGGTGGGGCAAACGAGAAGTTTTCGAATCTTGTTCAGGCCAAAAATGTTGAAACACCTCTAACAAGGTGCCTGATATCAGCAGGAGATACATAAATGTCCTTATTGTTACATCAGCTTAATGTTTGCGAGTGCGTAAGTCCTTATCTAACTTGATATTTGTTGAGAAGTTCCGTTGGAGAGCAAAATTCATTAGCATCCTGGACAAACGGTGCGGATTGCTCTCCACCTAACTACAGGTAATTATGTGTCTTTGGCCAAAGTTCAGCTCTAACTAGTCGACTTTTTAAGGAACCATTTGATTATTTACCTTTTTAAGGATGTCGCCGGATAATTGTCGAACTTGGAGTCATTATTTTAATTAAAAGCAAATTAGCCCGCGAAAGAGGTGAGTCCGAGGGGTAGTTGAGCCCAAGTTACTGAATGTTACTTTGATGTAAGAGCGGCAAGATTCAATTTGCATACAGATCAAGTCGAGGACAGCGGACAACACTTTCAACAATCAGTGAAGGAGCCGTTTGCAGGACAGCTTCTCGTTCTTCATAAAGCTAACAAAGTGCAGCGCCTTAATTACTTAACGGGCGTGGCAGGCGGAGTGGGGGGCGAGAGGTGAGTCCCCCATTCCCGGCAATTAGTTGAAATTAAAATGTAAGCAAGTGCGCAACTTTTTAGCGTCTTGTGCAACTTCCGGTGAAGCGTGAAATGGCTCAGCCAGCTGTTGGAGCTGCGAGAGGCTGCATGGCAGAGCAGCCTAATGACACTTTTTAATCAAATATGCTAATGCTAATGCAAAAGTTGAGCTGCCATTAAAATTAAGAGTGAGCCATAGTTGTCGGCTGGCTGGATGCCTCCTGAAGCCCGATTCAATTATTTTAATACCTACTTCAGAGACAGCTCACCGCGATACCTTGATATCAGCTCAGCTGATTTTTTTTCGCTCCCTCTTCCAACTAATGGGTCAATCTTGGTTTGACCCAAAAAGGGGCTTGCTATGACGAGATTTTGAGGAGCACTTGTCATTATATGGAGGTCCAGGGTTATCCATGCCTTGCCACAACTCGCACATTTGCAATACAAATTTGCAATGCCATTAATGTATGGGAAACCCCAGTGCAGCCCTGCTGCACTTCCCCACAAAAAAGCCTTACCATGAAAAATCGCCGCCGGTCAAACACGTAACCAAATTGTGCACAGCAGCGGCAGAAGAAGGAGTAGCATGTGGAGGCAGCTGCAGGGCCAGGAGCTATGTCAGAGGAGCAGGAGCAGGACAGCAGGAGCAGCAGCAGCAGCTACAGCCGGAAACAAGGATAACGAGCGTGTTGAGGCCCCCTCAAACCCACGGCACGAAACTGTGAATGGGGTTCTGGTCGATATGTTGGCCTTGTCGCCCGCTTGCAGGGCTGCGAGCAGGGGAGGCAGGCCCATGTTATGGCCTGGCCAGACGAGGCAGGTCCTCCCGGTCCTTCCTCCGCTCGCCTGTGATGCCTGATGTTGCCTGCCGCTGCATGGGACAAGTATTTTAAAATCCAATTAAAAACGCCCTAGTGGGATTTTTCAATCGCTGCTGACCAGGGAAGGGGCCGCTGGACAGGCATCAGCATCAGCAACAAAGTTGCATTAAGCGCGCGACATTCGCTGGCCACCGGTCGCGTCATAGTCATTTTCTGGCAGGAGCACGATGGCAATGAGCCGGTGCGATGGGGAGCTCGGGGAGGAGCGGGACAAGCACGAGGACAGGTCTGCGGTCGACTGGACGCCGTTGATGGCCATTGCATGTTTGCCTCTTGGGCGCAAGAGCGTAGCATGAATCTTGTTAGCCAACGTTTACGCTTATTATGCGATGGCAAAGCTATCGAATTCACGGGGGCAGCGTCTGGAGTTAGGAGCCTGTGGGGCATTGAGGCCATGGGAAGAGCTCCATGTCGGTAAATTGCATTTGCGGCACGACACTCGCAGTTGAACGCATCTCGTCAGAAGGCAGAAGAAATCAAATAAACTCACGTGGATGCAACATATGATGTCCGGTCGGTCGGGCAGGTGCAGGTAACTCAGGTAATGCAGCTGGGAGCATACATGTGTGCTTAAAAGTTTGACCAGCATGTCTAATCAAATCCGTCGCCGGCAGAACTTATCAATATGGCCAACTGCGAGCTGCAAAACACAAACACACAACTTGACCCGCCCGAGCGGCTGAGGCTGATGCTGAAATTGAACTCTGCCAGGCATGAGCCCAGCACTTTGCATACAAATCATACGAGTCTGCGGAAAGTTTCCCACCCAGAGCCCACTCTAATACAAGGCACCGACACGTAGTTGAAATGCCCGATGGGACCATTATTCTTGATTTTGGTCGGACAACGGGAGCGGGGGAGGAGGAAACTCTGTACTACCTTTTGCCAGTTGATAAACAACCAAACTTTCGGCCTCCAGGCCCGAGGCATTTTGAGGATTTGCAGCTTCAGTAAATAACATTTGAGCCCGAATTCACTGACTAACCCCTGGACAGGACTGGACTGGACTGGACGGCCTGGTCAGGATCTGCCATGCAAAACAGTCCCCGTACGTGTAATGTGATATATTTTTTACTGGCTGTCCATGGCCATGATATGGGACCGGCCCAACTGCAGGCCAAATTAAATAAAAATCAGTGCCCGGAGTGAGCTCAAATTGCAATTTCATAAGCAATTTGCTTCTGGACAAGATACGGCTGGTAACGTGCATCTTTTTGTTATTTGTCTCTCCGAGGGGGCCAGGGT